CACACATTGAAGATAATCGTTAGTATTGGTACCATAACAATGGAGATTTGACGTATCAGACTCAACGAGAAAAACAACCATTTGTTGGGAGGAAATAGGTAGATATTGAAAAAATCAAGGAACACTCCAACGGTAGTGAATGAAAAGAGTGCAATTGATTGAATCAGTATGCCGCGTTCATTTGACGAGATTATACTATGCGATGAGGATTGATGGCGTTTCTAGAAAATTGTGAATGCAAAATGGAATGAAACAGATACTGGAATTGAACAATTGCATGAAAAAGCTGAAAAATGAATGATAAATCCGAAAATTTTCAGGGGAAATCTGAAAAGATTTCGGAAAATTTGACGAAACTTTGCGAAAAAACCTGGAAGGTTTCTGAGATTTGGGCACATGAATCGATGCTTTGGTGGAGGTCGGCGAGTAAGTGCTCCAACGAGATCGATTCAGTGCTCCGGCGGTGTTCAACTTAATGCTCCGGTGGGGACTGAGTTTTAGCTCCGACAGGAGCTTAGTGCTACAACGGGAGCTGAATTTGGGCTCCGCCGCTATGGATCGAACTCACCTTTCGGTAAATGGCAATGAGAATACCGATGTAGTTGACCAAACTCAGGATTGAAAGCGGTGTCAGGGAACAAGCCTCAAACATGGCCACAATAAACGCTTCGGTGGTATGGAAGTAGCGCCATGCATAAATGTACGGATCGTATCGCATTGTCACATTCGGCGTCAAGAATGCGATCACAAAACCCAAACCGAGTAAGATTGAAACCAGTGATAAGACCTGAATTTAGCTTTTGATTTGACCTCAAACTGGAAGGGAGCGGGGGTGGCCTCATCAACTGATTAGGCCTGAAATTGGAGGAGGTAGTGACCTTATTAATTGAGTAGACCTGAAGTCCGGTGGAAGGGCAACCCTATCAATTGAGTGGACTTGAAAATGGGAAGGGAGTGGGGCTGGCCTTATCAACTCAAAACGACGAGACTAATAGAAAAATAAGATCCATCCTCACATTACATATACTCGTGATCCAGTTCTTATACACATAACTGGTACTGACGATTCCTAAACGATTTACGGATAACAAAAAGATAAAATACAGCATACACATCCACATTGGCTCAAACAAGGCTCCGGCAATCTGAAAAATTCGAATCTTTTATGACCTGAAATCAAAATTTTGAGAAATGGGCGTATACGAGGAGAGGAATTTTCAAACGTGGGAGGTTCTTTTTTTTGGAGATGTTCGAGGATGTTGCGTGATATCCGTAGGAAGATTAGAATTAGGATAAAATCGGGATATCCAGAAGGGTAGTGAAAGGATTTTGGAAATCCGGAAGGGTTTTTGGAGGGATTTGTGATATCCGGAAGTGGCGTTGAGAGGGTATCGGCCTCCCAAAAAGGGATTTAATAGAATTTGTGATTTCCGGAAGGATATCCGACCTTTGTGGCGTACACATTCTCAAGTGGCCATATTGTGAGAAAACCCGAAATGAGCCCAATAACTTGTTGAATTATACCCAGCACACTAATACACAACATCATACGATAGCATTGCGATGTGCGCATTGACTTCTCCAGCAGTATTCCCTGAAAGGCAGTGCTCGATTTGTGAGATTTCATTGTTTGGATATATGAAATCCAAACGGATATGTGGGATCCGGAAGGATATACGATATCCGGGCAGGGATCTCGAAACCGTGGATTTGAAGTATCGTATGAGCGTGAGCGTGTGAATTCGCTAAAGACAACGTCTCACATCCCACGTCTCATTTTCAAAAACCTTTACAAAATGTTTTTGGTACCGTAAAATGAGAAATTTCAGTTCTTCAATAGAATTTTTCAATCGAAATGAAAAAAAAAATGCAATTTTCTCTAAGCCAGATGAATGCAACTTACTGCGATAATAATAGATGACGTGAAAATACCAATGCTATTCATTAGAATGTAAAGAATGCCCACAGAAATGCTTTCATATTTTGGTGGTCGTTTGATTAACGCTGAAACATGCATAGATTTGTGAAAATTCAAATGATTTCAGGCCAGTTCAGACCATTTCCCAGTGGCTGGGTATTTCAGAATCCCCAAGATTTGGGAAAAAATTGATTGAATTGAATGAGTTTTTACAGATTCCAACCGTCCCCAGAAACTGCTGCAGGGGTATCTAAACGCTGCGGCTCTCAGAGATCTCGAACAGATCAAGGTGGATCAAAGTCAAGGATCAGTTCAGATCAGACCACTAGCCTGGCTAAGTGGAAAGTCCTTTGCCCCCAACACACACGAGAGTTTATGTGACTACAAAATCTTCCTCAATTTCCCAAACAGACAATTTTTATGTGTTTTGAGATTGAAAAATGAGAAAATTTAAAACTTTTCTATTGAATTGCGAATTATTTTCGAAGCTGAAATAAACTGAATAACATGTTTTCCGCATTTTTATACGATGAATTAGAAGGACAAAAATTTCTCAATGTGATATTCCCACTCGAAGATTTACGAAATCTCAGGTAGTCATCAACATTTTCCTACTGTATACGAGCTCCTTGTCCCTAATAATCTTAGGGCAATGCTGGAAATCAGCTAAGAAACCTGTGTGATCATCAAATCAATCGATCAATACACAGATCAGTTGCCACGATTGATTGAAAAGTTGCTGATCTGCGCTATTAACTGATCTGACATTTAATCTACTGTTATTGTTGCTGTTCAGTCGGTTAAGCCGAATGTATTTTTGGGCTCATTTTGAATCAGTATCGTTTGAAAATCATTGAGCAATGCGAGAGATCAGCTCAAAACCTGAATGATCTTCCTAATCAATCAATAATCGAATTGGGAATTTCATGAAGACGGCAACAGCAGCAGCAGCAGCAGCAGATGATTGCTAACGCTAATACCGTTAGTTATGCGGAAAGAAGGATATCAAGGACGGGATAATATGATATTAGGGATAATCGAGAGGCATTAACCCATAATCAGTTGAATTTGCTGATTAGATAAGCATTAGATAAATAAAATATCTGAAACTTACAAGGACTGATATTATCTCAAATAATACACCACAAACTCTTTTTTGCTCAGCTATATGACTAATTAATGAATCACCAATCTACACCATGTCATAGGATGCAATCAGATTTACTTTTGGTATTTGACGATTTATTAAATTTATTATTACACCACACATTATATTTATTATCAAATACAAATTTATAATAAATATAATGTATTCAACTAAATATTCGACTATATTCTACTCGCCACTATATCAAGTCAATTTTCCCAGGTTCCGACTATCTCCAAAGCCTGTACGGCTGCCGATCCACATCATCTTAAGCTCCTGATGAAACTCGTCAGTTGGGCAGGCACATACTTACCCGAGCGGGTAGGGCAACAAAACGAATATACAGCAAACATACCATGTGGAAAATGCATTTTCACAATCGACGACTATTCAGTGATCCGTAAATGAATTATTGTAAATGAAATAGTAATTATAATTTCACTGAGTTCATGCGCAACACCGACTTCACACAACGTCACGATCGCAACTAATTTATCTTGACGACTCGATGAATTATGTTCAGAATTCAATCAACGAATTAAATCTCAATTGCCAATCGTTAACAAATCATTATATTCAGACGATATCGAAAGAATAAAAACAAAAAATATGAATTATACCTCGAGCAATATTATTTGAATGATTGAAACTTATTTGATGCATTTCCGATGATTTTAGATCAGCTGAAAGCAGTAATTCGGGAATACTTCATGCGTCAATTCATTTCATTGCACGTCATTTATGGGATGTTAAAGCCGACATTATTAACTTAATATTAGATTGTTATCGGTTTTATTATTACTATTATTATTATTATTATTATTATTATTATTATTAT